GGTAAAACTGAGTGCACCAGCAGCAGCCTTTTGTGGAGTGCATCTTCCACTCTTGCTTCAGCACACACACCTGGAATACTGTATGCAACACTGCACCACCCAACATAGGAGTCAAGTCAGGACAATGGTCAATCATATATCACTGGCCGGGCGTGGTGGCTCACACCTGTAATCCTAGCACTCTGGGAGCGAGGCGGGTGGATTGCTTGAGGTCAAGAGTTTGAAACCAGCCTGAGCCAAGACCCCGTCTCTACTAAAAATAGAAAGAAATTAATTGGCCAACTAAAAATATATATACAAAAAATTAGCTGGGCATGGTGGTGCATGCCTGTAGTCCCAGCTACTCGGGAGGCTGAAGCAGGAGGATTGCTTGAGCCCAGGAGACTGAAGTTATGGCTGATGCTATGGCACTCACTCTAGCCTGGACAACAAAGTGAGACTCTGTCTCAAAAAAAAAAAAAAAAAAAATCATGTATCACTGTCCTTGGCCTCTAAACCACAGGCAATGTGATCCCATCAAAATATGTGCCACTTCTCTGCTCAAATGATTTCCCATCTCACTTAGAGAGAAAGCCCCAGACCTCACTATGACAGACAAGGCCTTCCATGAAGTGTCCCCCACGACTTATCTGCTCTTTGCTCACTTATATCACACAGACCTTTCACAAATGACTTCAGTGGCCATAAAGAAGAACTCACTTAGACCTGGACACCTTAAAGTAGATGGAAGAAGATGCCTTAACTATAAATAATTATAGTCAAGGAAGAGTTTCCCTATGGAGTGGTCAACTATATTCCAAAGCCTTTCCACACATAGACAGATTTCCTTCTGGGAAGTTCACAGGCTGAGGAAGCCTGCCCTAAGCCCATACTTCTGCAGGGAAGGACAACCAAAACTGTTCTGTTGAATGTATATTTATTTCTTCGATTTACAACAAATGCATGGTTTTATTTAAACAAAACGCACATTTTCATTATTTAATTTTCTAGATAAGTCTTTGAAAATGATGCATGTAATAAAGATTATTTGCAATACCCATATTTGATGCATCATTTTCACAACCACACGGTTTAACGTGAAATTTAAATTCAGCCAATAATTCCAGGGTGACAGTTTTATCTACAAAGCCTCCATTTCTATTTCAACCAATTTATTTAATGGAACAATTTAGAACACTCGCTTAAACTGATCCAAATAACATTCAAGAAAAAATAAAAGTAAAGGGAAATAACTTTCAAATGGATTTTAATAATAGAAACCATTGCTGTTTTTAAAGAAATGAATCTTAGTCTCACATATGAGTGTTAATTGTACAATTTCTTATCAAAGAGATTCAAGGAAGATAGCAATGTAGCTGTTATAAAAACATAAACTCAGATAAAATCCACCGCTGCCCCATAAATCTGCCACTGATATGCAAATATTAAGACATCAAATAAAATGCATGCTGTGGAATGTAATAGGTGAAAACACTGAAAAATAAATATGATTCAGAATTACAGAGTTCAAATACACACTGTGATTCAACTCTTACTTTGTTTGGTTTCCATTGCTTTCTAGAGTCATCTAGTACAAGTAGTTCCAGAAACCTGGTGATTTCCTTCATTATGAGGGCTGAGATGGCAATGATTTAACACTCTGCATTTTCTTTGGTAATAGTAAGATTTATGAGAGAAGAATAAAAATCTAAAAAAACCACTCAATAAATTATTCAATTTTTAGATCAAGTTGATCTAGGGCAAATTTCCTTCATGTTGTTGGTATGGAGAATGTAGCTTATTGGATAAGATCACAGTGTTTAAGAGAATATCTGGGTTTGCTCCTTTACTGTTAGTAATTTTTGCAACTGTAGGCAAGACACATAACCTCTGTTAAGTCTTAGTTAATTCATTTTAAAAAGTGGGATAATAATAGGAAGTCTTAGATCATCTCTAAGGTCAAGATGTACCCACTGGTGGCATTCAAGATAGCTGATGTCATTATGCACTTATCTTTTAAACTTATTTTAACATTATTTTAATGTATATGAGAAAGATTTAAAATTAGTATGTCAAATAAAAAAATTTAAAGGGGGAATCTCTCAGGACAAACCTAGATGGCACCATGGGAATTGCTCTTTCTCAGAGAATAAATAATTCTTCTCAGTTGTACTTTGAAACGAACATGAATATTTTATAAACTGTGAAGCTGTTTATACAAAGGACTTGAATGTTGACAACTGTGTTAGGGTTCATGTAGATCACGTAGGAATTAAAGTACTTAGCATAGTGTTGGAGTGTATTAAGGACTCAATACTTATTATTTTTCCTTATGACCTATTATTGTCATATTGCCATAATGTTAATAAGCCAGATATACTCTATCCCAGGATAAAAGAAGTGTATGAGTACCTGTGCAAAACAAAACCACTATCATCTTTTACTTTCCAAATGATTTACAAATAAGATATATTACCAAGAAATCAAGAAAGAAAATTAGGGGAAAAAAAAGCGGGGGGAAGGCAAGCTAACAAAGGACAAATAAGCAAGGAGGTGATAAAATTAAACCACACATACCATTTGTCATAAGAATATTTGGTAAAATAGTATATGGTGCAATGACACTTGGGCTAAGTAAAACTGTCTATGAAAATTTGAGGAATTATCACACCCAGTGAATAGCACCTACACTAACCTCCTTGAATATTGTCTCAGGACATTAGACATACAGAAAACAGCTTTGGGTTTTTGTTTTGTAATGTAATGAAAGTCTAAAAACTTTTCCTATAATTTTACTAAGTTCTTCTAGATAGTTTTAAAAATAAGTCTTTTCCCAAAGGGGAAATATTAATATTGAATATAATCTTACTTAGATATTTCACTCTTCATTATATAATATGTGTTTCCCATCTAATTGCAATTGCAGTTAATATTTTCCTGCAGATAGTATTTTTGAAGATAATATGCACTCAGTATTTTGTGAGTATGTTATTATTCTTCTAAACAAAACATTCCAAATTTTACTCACCAACATTAAAGTAGCTTTAATATTTTGGTGTTCCAATTCTTATCACAAATGAATTCTAAATTTCCTTTTATCTTTAGGCAAAGAAAGGATTATTCAATATTTAACAAAAGATAGATAACTCCAAACTTTAAATCTGAATATATTTAGTCATAGTAATACTAAACTCCCTAATGTGAATAGCCTTCTCTCTCTCTCTCTTTTTTAGAGACACGATGCTGCCCAGGCTGTACTTGAACTCTTGGCTATCCTCTTCCTCAGCCTCCCAACTATCTGGGACTACAGGCACATGGCTAGTATCAACAGTTCTTCTGCGTGAGAATGACCTGGGGACGGAACTGCGTCAATCTTGTGAAACTTGAAATATGGGTAAGCCATGTGATAATAAAACTCATCTGAAGTTTCACTTTGAGAGCAGATCAAGAATTTCTTACCCAGAAAAGAGGGCTCTGGGCCAATGAATGAGGGAGACTCTCAAGGTTAGGGAGAAGGCTCAGAAATGCCACCTAATGAGAGTTAACACAGAAATGACACTAGTTGTCCTGGGAGAATTGGAAGTAACCTATCAATGACATTATGGGTAGCCCTCCGTATGAATCAAGAACTCAAATGTAGTCACTGAAAATCAACTAAAAAGGGATTTTTCTACTTTTCTTGCTTGAAAGGTGTAAGACAACTGCAATTATGTGAGACAATGGAACGTCTTCAAAGAGGTGAATTACCAGTTAAATAAAGTTAATTTCCAGAAAACAAACAAAGAAATAAACCAATGACTTAAAATAGCCATCTAGCTTTACCAAATTATTTACTAAATTTACCATCATCAGTAACTGTCCAGGCTGGCATTAAGAAATATTCTAACTATTTTGATCTTTGGTCTTCATTGAATATGTCTTTTCATCTCTCATTTACATAACACTCAATCTCCAATTAGTAATCTTATAAAATTAAAGAGAAGAAATATAGTATATTTCTAAGAATTATACCTGTTCTAAGATTTAACATTTTAAATATAATAATATTTCTGAATCCCAAATATGTAAAAAGAAAATATCTCTGTGAGAGCTTAAAGAAGTACCCAAAAATGTAACAACCTGTGATATATAAATTTGTAACACATTTCCCTGACAAAAACACACAACTAACTATATTATAAATTAATTTATTCATGAAAAGCTTATTAATAAAGTTGAAAATTAAATTTATACTTAATTTTTTCAGTTTTTTATTTCTTTTTTTAAGTCACAGCTAATGAGCTGAAAAAAATCAGATAACATTTTACAATATAAATTTAGATTCACTGCTAGCCTTAAACCGTAAGCATTATTATTAAGAAGTGATAATGTTGAAGTTTGTTATGAAATCAAATGGTCCAACTATAAAACCAGTTTAATTTTCTGTACCATATTTCTTATGCTCAGAAAAAAATTGGCACATGGCTATTAACAAGGTACAAAGTGAAAACAAATTTACCCATTATTATTAAGGATAAATAATATATATCCTATTATGTTACTTTTAATCTTATTTTCATTTTAATCACTTAACTTCATAACCTTGTTATAAATAATATAAACTGTTCTCCTAGCAAATAGTTATGATTATAACAGAATCCAGAAGTTCCCTAAAAACTTGACAATTATAAGAGGAAATCAATAGAATAGGTCAGGAACAGGGCAGTTAGTTAGCTTGGTTCTTGCAGAAATGATATATTGTGAACAAATTTTCTCAACACTTTGTAAGTACAGATGCTCCTCAACTTATGATGGGGTTATATCTGGATAAACCTATTGCAAATCAAAAATATTTTAAGTCAGTTTATCATAACTTTAACTTACGATGGGTTTATCCGGACAAAACACCATCATAAGTTGAGGTCTAGTACTTTCACACTGAGTAAAGCTGAAACATTGTTAAATTGAACCATCTTAAGTCAGGAACTGTCTATAGCAGAAAAGTGATGTTGAAAGATCATGCCAATAAATTTTGTACTTACTTTGAGGAGGCAAGGTGCTTCTAATACACTGTAACTCTAGTTCCTCGGCCCATTCCATCTTTGGCACGTTCTGCATCATCTCACAGTTACCATTCTCTGCCAAGGACACTGGTTGACTGTTTATTGGTGTCTTTCTCAAAGTCTTCATGTGCTGTTGAACTTCCGCCAAGAGAACGGCTTGTATTGCTTCAGTTACCTGTAAAGTTTGGGGGGGGAGGAGGTTATGAATTATTTTTGATATTATTAGAAATGCTTGGGTATCTTGCAAAAAAAATCCAAAACCCAGAATTTTGATTTCAACAGGTTTTCCATAAATAACTCTCCATTCTGCTGAATTAGTGTCTAAAACAATTGAAAAGTGGGTAGTGAGAAGTGGCACCTAAATGCTCACGTTGTTTCTTTGCAAGTGCAAGAGATTCTAAGAGGATACTTGAGAGGAGTTTTCAAAGTCCAGAGTGCTAACCATTATACTATGGGCCAAGAGGAGTTTTCAATTCTTTCTCTTAATTAAGCTCCTTTCATTTTCACCACGAGATATATGAATATATCATATCATTCTTAAAGACAAGGTTAGATCCTCAAACTATGTCTAGCTTCAAAGAACGATTTAGTTAAAAGCACTGAATTTAAACTATGTTTAATACAGAAAGCGAAAGCACTTTAATAATAAATGTCACTGAACTGTGTGTATGCATATGTTGCTTCAGATGGATTAAAGTCCTGCAAGGCATGACTTCCAGCTGTTGTGCATACCCAGTCAAAGACCCCTAGCTGGGTGGAGGAAAGGAAGACACTTGTCAGAGAGCATATAATCCAATATCTTCATTTTTAAAATGAAGAAGGTGGGACATGACATCCTAAGGTTATGTAGACTTGGTGGACAGACCTCCTGATCCCTGATTCCATGTCCTTTGTAGTGCATGTCCACCCGTGCGTCTGTGTCTTCATCCCTCAGTGCAAAGCTAGGGACAGTTTGCATGGGCCTCTCTCCGGCAAGAGAAGAGGCAAGGTTCAGGGGTTAGGTAGAGCTCAAGGAAAGCTAGGAGCTGATCAGGGAGAGAAAGGGAAGGACACGACTGATACAGGCGAAATTAGAACACCTCTCTGTGATCCTTCTTTGGCCAAAAGTTAAACATTTCATATAGTCACATCACACTGCTGTTCATTTTCCACTCAGAAGTCTGCCCTTTCTCGAGCCATGTTCCACGATTGCCAGCCTACCCATAGGAATGTCTTGACCTAGGCATTTGGGACAACACCAACCGAGAGGAGTGATCTGGAGATGTTATGGCCCCAAACCGAACATGTATTCATCTAAACATTTATTCAGTCTATTTCTGTGTCACAGTAGCAGGTGAGGCCTTTAGGCTTCAGCGACACCCAGAGAGCTTATGCTAAGGATAGATGCCCACTGAACTAGTCGGGCAGAGGAGCTGGGATCCTGACTTTTAAATAAAGAAACCCATTGCAAGAATATTGGAGCAGCTTCCTGATTGCTGATTACCCCCCTGTCCTTGCCCAGCTCACACTCGAATGCTTGATTAGGGAGTGAAAAAAGGCTAGTGAATGGTATCATTTTACTATTGCATATCATGTATACTAACATGTAGTATTGCCTATCATGATACAAGTGAATGATGCCTACTCATGAATGTCATGTGATGAAATATTCAACACTGTAGTATCAATTATATACTGTGAATCTAACATATAGTTCTGCATATCATGATGCTCATGAATCATGTCTATTAGTATCTAATAATGATGAAACATGATAATATTATATATGATATTGACTAACACATACTACTATGAACCATGATATTGCTAAACCATGCTGATTTATGTGTATCATATAATGGGATATATATTTTTAATTATTCATCATAAACAATTTTATATTATTGAACTTATTTCATCTGAACTTTGCCATACATGTTATTTGACAGCACTGATTACAAGATGTGGATGATGTGGTAGAAAGAACTGGAGATCAGAAGTGAGAAGGTTTGAGTTTCTGATCTAACTACAACAGTTACTACAAATGCAACCTTTGACAAGTCACGAACTTCTCTGAATCTTTATGTCCTCACTTGTAAAACAAAGTCTATAATACTGAGAGAGGTTAGGTTGAGATCACTCAATAACAGAATAGTGTGTGGCACTTGCTCTTTACATAGCTATCAATCAGGGAGGAGAGTGGAGGATATTCTTAGACCATCAGTGTGTCCAGACTATGGTATAACCCTCAGAACAGGCAGTTTGGCCATATGTCCACACTGGGTTTATGGCTGCCTTCTCATACTGGGAAGATAACCACCTCCAATGAAGATAACCACCACTCACAATTGTGATATAAAATGTCATCTCTCCCACGGGATATAATATCCTTTATGATTCTTTCTTAGAAATATACAGGAATTTATGTAATTTCAGTTAGCATTTCTAATTATTTAATTTACATGTTCTGACTTCACATTTTTTAACTGTTAAATTTTTTACATAGCTGTCACTACAAATGCATATTACAAGAATAATGATGTATCATCAAAAAACAAGAACAGAAATAACAATGGAATAAAATATATTAATCATAATGAGTTGGGTACTCAGAGCCAGGAAAGTTAAAGGGGAATTCTGAATGGCACATATTCAGTTAGAAACAAACTCAAAATACACCCTTTAAGCTTAGTGTGAAAGCAACATTTGGTATTATTCCCATTTGGAGAGAGAGGGTATGCCTTATGAGCATGTAATAATGATATCACAATTTCTGGTATTCAATGAGCACTAAATAAATGCTAGTGGAACTGAAATAGATTCTGCATACTTTGAAATATAACCTGTGGAAAGTATAATTTATTAATAGTTTATAACTATTAGTGCTGAGTCTCTCTAGTATAGAAATATAGTAGATAAATTTTGCCAATAGTCAATAGGGATAGAATTTTCTCCAACAAAACAGTATTTTATATACCTTTGTGATTTTAATGATGAGCTAGAATTAAGCACTGTGGCTATAAAGCTGTCGCTTTAAATGCACACAAATAATTTTCTCTGAAAAGGTAGATATGCAAAGCATTATACTCTTTTATGAGGGAATGTGCAGAGATTCAAAATAAGGTTTATAATCCATTGCCTGGAAAGAGTCAGCCACAAATCTGGGCTATATACTGATTACTAGAGGTATAACTGAGCCATAGGCAAGCTAGCAATGTTAGTGGTATTTCACTAACACCCTGGAACAGCAAAGTACTGAGAAATAGCATAGAGCATCATGGAGACTCATATGAATCCCTGCATCCTGCTTGTTGTTCTAATGTTCAGAGTTTCTGTTATATATATAACGCATTTTTCTAACATTCTGGCTCATGCTGGCCTTTCATGTCCTTATATTGTCTCCCGGAAAAGCAACATTTCTCCCCAGAGGCCTGACTTTGTACCCACTGTTGTTACATTATAAAATCCCAAGAACTTCAGTGCAGTGCCAGAAACATGTAAACTATCAACCTCCCAATTTTTCCTGTTTCTTTTTCAGCATTTATTTATTTATTTTTTGAATATACAAAATCATGTTTATAATCAAGGAAAGGACAAACTTTTTTTAAAAATTTTTCTCTACCACATAAAGATTATTTATAATTAAAAGGAAAAAGAAAAGAAAATCTACATGTTTAGCAACAGGGAACTGGTTACATCAATTATGGTCCATTCATACAATGGAATATACTCTGCAACGGCTATAAAGAATGAAGCAGATATCTATGTGTTGACATGAAGTAGTAAGAACCATCCATTTAATTAAAAAATCAAGGTACATAAAAGTGTGTAGATTGGGTCAAACAGAGCTAGGTATATACCGACACCTTTTATGAAGCGAATATTACTCTGATACCAAAACCAGGAAAGGATGCAACAAAAAAAGAAAACTACAGACATATCCTAAAGAAATAATCAAAAATTTCACAAAATCTTAGCAACCGAACCAGAACTTAATCAAAAAAAACCACCACGACCAAGTGCTCATCCCAGGATGCAGGAGTGATCACTACGTATAATCAAAACAATTCACCACATGTGAACAAAGCAAAAACAACCACAGATCTTTCATAGACCAGAAAAGCTTGACAAATTCAACCCCCCTTCATGATACCGAACACTTACAGAAAATAGCCAAGAAGGGGCATTACCCTAAAATAACACCTACAACAGACCCACAGCCAACATCCTACTGAATGGGAACGAGTTGAAATCATCCCACTTAAACGAACCAGACAAGCGCCCCATCTCCACTTCGTTCAACAAGCGAATCTCACACAACAGACAGGAAAATGAAAAGATCCAAACCTAGGGCAAGAAACAAATTCACGTTGCTAGATACGTATATTGTATCTAGAAAACCCCAAGATTCAACCCAAGAAACCCGAACTGACAATGAATTACAATCTCAATACAAATCAATACACAGAAAGCAACATTCATATACGCCAACAACAATCTAATTAAACCAAACAACGACCATTCTTCACAATAGCACACAAAATTAAAGGTACTTAGTAAAATTAACCAAAGAGGAAAAGACCAAGAGAATAATTAACACTGAGAAGCGAAACAAAGGATAAACAGATGAAATCCATCACCATCGCTCGATCGGCAGACCTCAATACATCAAAATCATACACAAACGATCTACAGATTCAAGCAAACCATTAACAACCCACAGCATCTCACAGAATAGAAAAAATAATTACCTTCATGAACCAAAAAACCCGAATACAAGACAATTCAGCACACAAAACAAATGAGCATAATATCCAGAATCAAAACATACTACAAAGCTGTATAAAACAAATGCATGGCACAAAAACAGATATTGACCAGTGAACAGATTCATGAATCCATATAAAACCACCCATATAGCCATCCATCTGGACAAGCAACAAAAACATACTGGAAAAAAATTCTTCCAATAAAGGTCTGGAAAACGATAGCACAAAGCGCTAAAACAGACCACACCTTCACCCTCACAAAACACTCACTGCTGGTAACAACTAACGTAAGAAATAAACTATAGAACTCTAAGAAAAATTGAAACACCTCCTAGACACGCCGGCAATAGATTATAAAGAAGTCCCCAAACAACACCAGCACACAAAAATAATAATGGACAGAAACTACAAAGCTCTGCACAGCCAAAGAAAAGCATGAAAGGACAGACAACCTACAGAATGGGAGAAAATTGCATCCTAAATGCACCGCATAAGACTGATAACAAAAACTAGAACTCCGAAATTAGTGAAGAAAAAAAATAACCCCCATTAAAAAGTGGGCAAAGACGTGAACAGAATTTCTAAAGAAGAAGAAAATGGCCAACAACACATATACAAAATGCCAACATCCGAATCAACAGGGAAACGCAAATCAAAACCACCAAGAATTCACTTAACCCCAGTGAGAAGGGGCCTTTATCAAAAACAAAAACAATAAATTCCGATGTTCGAAAAGGAACACCCTACACTGCTGGTGGGATCGCAAACAGTCAACCTCGGATAAGCAAAGGAGATACCTTAAACAATACAAGTGATCTACCATTTGACCAGCAATCACATGTGCACACCCCAAAGACAGGACCTCACAAAAAACACCGCACCCGAAGTTAAGCACACAATTCATAATTGCACTACGAACAGCCCAATGCCCATCAATCAAGCATTATCTATTGCGAGTAGTCATGAAACAAAAAAACCATCCTGACAAATTAACAAACGGCAAATAACCATTCCTATCCCCTACCTTAAAGGTAAACACTCAATTGCTGGAGTGGATTTTGTTCTGTTTCACAAAAGTATTCCATTACCACCTAGTGCTCCTAAAATACATAAAAAGAAAAATCAAGCTAACATGATTTCCACTAACTGCTTAAATGAATGGCTTTACAAAGAATGAGGATTGGTTACTGAAGCAGTTAATGGATACTTGGAAGAGTCTCTGTTGTTCTTGAAGGGCCCAGGAATTCTCATTCCCATTTTATGTGTGAGGAAAATAAATAATCAACAAGTTAAACCTATCCTCCAGAGTCATGCATCAGGCTAGTAGTAGAGATCAGAGGAGAACTTTGGGCCAGGAGTGGTGGCTTATGTGAGTAACCCTCACACTTTGGAAGGCCAAGGTGGGAGGATCACTTGAGGCCAGTAGATCAAGACCACAAGACCAGCCTGAGCAACATAGTGAGAGTCCACCTCTACAAAAAAAAAAAAAAGAAAAGAAAAGAAAGAAAGGAAAAATATTAGCCAACTATGACAGCATATGCCTCTAGTCCCAGCTACTCAGGAGGCTGAGGCAGGAGGATCACTTGAGCGCAGGAGTTAAGGTTGCAGTGAGCTATGATTGCTCCACTGCACTCCAGCCTGGGCAACAGAGTGAGATCCTGTCTCTTGAGGAAAACAAAAAAAAAAGTGAAAACTTCGAAGCTTGGACTTCGTGTAAACAGTAAATGCTCTGGTAATATTTGTCCTATTGCCAGCATTTCATACAAGGTCACAGAATCACAGAACCTCAAAGGTCCATTAGTCCAAACACATCCAAACCACATTAAAATTTATTTGAAGGTCAAATGAACAACTACAAAAGATCTTTAGATTAGAGCAATTTGGGATCAATGTTTTGTTGGGTTCTTTTCCTTAAGATTTTTTTCCCCACTGAGGAATTTTTTGGCTAGTGGGGAAAAAAAAATTCTCACTTTTAATGGATAAACTTGTTTGAGGTGACTGCTGATGTGCTGATATTTTAGCATGTACTAGTGTTTATTCTGATTATTGTAGAGGCTGTTTGCATAGCTATTCATTCATTCATTAAATATTTATTGACTGGCTACTGTCACTACTGCTTTTCTGGGCAGTGGTGAGAGAAGGGTGAATGAGACAAACAAGGTCACTGCTCTCAGCAAGTTTATATAACAGTGAGAAGACAAAAAATAAGCAAGCAAAAAAGCAAACGACATAATTCCCATTAAGAGCAATCACAACAACAAAATAAAACGGGATGATGTGATGGTTGCCCAAAGTAGGGGAGGCGGGGAGGGGGTGGTGGCAATATTACTTGGAGTGATCAGGGAAGAGTTCTCCAAGGAGATAGATTTTCAGCAAAGAGCTGACTGATTAATGGAGAAGTGAGAATTCCAGCCTGAGAGAACAGTGAGATTCTGACGTGTGAATGAGATTTGTGTGTTCTGAAAATAAAAGGAAAGTCAGTGTGACTACATCAGGGTAAAATGGGAATGGGGAAAATGAAGAGAGATGAGATTAGGCTGGGGGCAAATCATGTGGAAACTCGCAGGCCATGATAAGTTTCCATAACCATTCCAACTGTATACATTTAGTTTTATGGTGTCCATCCCTAGAATTTGTTCTGTTTCCCTATAACCAAGAAAAACCATTTGTAATTGGAGTTATTGCTATTCTCATCTTGGAAATTTGACATTTATCAACTTCATGATGATGAATAAAGTTCCAATAAACATTCACCTAAGCGATGCACAGATATTTATTACACAACATACAAAGATACTGGTAGGAATCTGAGACTCAAAGAAGTCTTAAAAGAAGAAGAAGGACTTAAATTGGACATTGAAGAAACCAGCTTTCTAAACCAACTCACAGATGAGATACTCTTGGAATTAAAAAAAAAAAAATGATTTCTAACTTCAAATTCCCACATGTAGGTCATGGTGCATTTTGAAATCAAATGATAGACAAGGAATTCCTCCCAAACTTAAATCCAACTGAGCAAGAAGTTACCTATGGCAGCATGAGCCTCAGCCTGTCCATTCATGCTCCTCCTTGAATGGTGCACCCTTGCTTGTGTGGTCTTCCATGTTTTCACTCACCTCTGTCTGACTCTGCATGAGGCTTGTCCTGGGAGGGCCGTCTTGTGAGGACCAGTAACTACTTACTTATACTTTCAGGTAAAGAGGGGTACCAACGAACCACAGCAGCCAGGAACTCATCCAATAACTCCAAGAACACGCACTATGTCATACCTGCACAGATTGGTCTCTCCAACAGGAAATTAGCTTCAAAAGTGAAAGGTCAGCCTCCGGTACATGGGATCCATTCTTGCCTAGAAATAGACAGAACACATTTACATCTTGAGAATATCAAAAATAGATGCAACCCAATGGTCCTTAACCCTGGCTACACATTACAATCACCCGGGTGGGGGGGGGGGCTTTTTTTCTTTTTTTTTTAAAAATACCAGTGCCCAGGTTCAAACTTCTAGAGATTCTGATTTACTATCCTGGAGTTGGAAAGGCATTAATACTTCGTAAAGGCAGCTCAGATTATTTTCATGTACAGCCAGAGTCAGGAACCATTTATATATATGTATACATATTTCTAACAATCATGCTAACACATATCCACATCAAATCAAATTCGCTTTTATGCCTTAAACCTACCTTTGTATCTTTTTGCCAACCTAAGACAAATCACCGAATTTTATAATTCCTTCCTTATAGAAATAGTTCCTAAAATGTGACCCTGCCACGAATCAGTATCTATCACGTGTAAAATTAAATAAAAGACTTGCTTTGATTTGTCCTTTCCCAGCTAGACCACTTTGATCAATAGGTATAGCACTAATGCTTTAATTTGACTCATTTTGTTATGCATTGTTTCTTTTAAGTTTGCCCTCTTGAGTGTCCTTTTTATGTATTTGCCTTAATGTTCAGTGTGAATTTTTAAGAATGAGCTAGGCCTTGGTCTATTTAAATTGATCTATAGAGTGTCCAACAGTTCCCTCCACCAAAGAAAGCACTTAATAAGTGCCTTTTCATTAAATGAAAATGTCCATAGAATCATCCAAATGAAAAATCAATGAATTAAGACTTTCTGATGGCTAAAGTATATCATCTAGGTGCTGGATCCTGAGAGTGAGACAGAAAAGAATGATAAAGCTTATGCTAGCGGGAAAATTGTTACTGTAATTGTCTATTTAAATTCCTATATTAATAAATGTTTGACATCCCGGTATCAACTATTTGATTAGCATTTGTCTGATGTACTTTTCACTGAATCAACATTTTATATATTAACATATGCCATATATATTTATCGCATTAGTAGCCGATGAAAATGTGATGGAAGATATCTGATATAATGCAAATTGAGAGCATGAAGGAAATATAGAAGAAACTCCTGACCAATTATTAATATTATTTTTTCCTTATGAAGCATACCATATAAACTTGAAATGACCAAGCGTGGTGTGCAAAACATGTAAGTATGACAGAGCGCTATGATTTTGAAATCGTACTTTCTATTTTCTCATGAACAAAGCAGGTAAAAGAAAATTTTCTTCTGATCTTTCTCCTTTCTCCCTCTCTGATTTTGTTGACCTTGTGACTCAACCCATCAAAGCTAAGTATTGGTCTCAACTGTTAGTACTTACTGGCATCATGGGGTATTTCGCAGCACACTTTAATGTGATATTAAAATTTTAATATGTGATAGAAAGGAGAGCCAACTCATCTTGGCAATGTCAGTGAATGAAAGAATTAATTGCAACTTCAGGGAGAAAGATAAAAAGAAAACATCCCAGCCTTACCAATATTACTCAGCCACCATTCCCACTGCCAGAAGTGAGTATTGGTTCCTGTCAACCCTTTAGAATGATCACGTCAGAGTATTATTTTATTCTTCAGGATTGGGCTGGTTAACACTAACATGATGAAGCAAATCCTTTCCTTTTCCTTATCTCACATCTTCCTATTATTTTTTTTAAATACTCCTTATTTCCTTAGTCCTTAACTGAATTTTAAATGCAATAAATGCCACACTAAACACCACGGAGATTATGCAGTGATAACACTCAGGATGCTGTGGTTGGGGCTGCCATAGGAAAAGCAGGGGCCTCTGAAGCTCTGGTTAGCATTTCCCTGTCTCTGCAGAGATACTTAAATTAAACCTTAAATTATAATCCCTTTCACAGTGTTATAAAAAATGAAAACCAGATAGCTAACCCTAACAAGGGCTACTACCTAAGGAGAAAGCAGGCAACACAGACTGGGCCATATAGAAGGAACACTGTTTACAATCATAAATGTGAGAAGTGGCCTGATATCATGGACAGAAAAAGGGGTTAGGGATCAGATTTGGATTGGAACCCAGGCCCCTCTGCTTAATAGCTGATGGACTATGAGTAAATCCTCTAACTCTGCTGAGCCCCATTTTTTTAAAGAGTAAAACAGAAACAGTTCCTCCTACTATTCAGGGTTGTTTATATATTAAATGCAATAATATATTTAAATTTAAACCCATCAGTGTAATTCTTGGAACATACTAGGCACTAGATAGTTGGAAGCTATTAATAAACTCTCACTTGAAAATATTCTTTTTAATAGTCCTGCGAGGGCTGCTGTGTACTGTTACTTAGGTCATCTCATTTATAGATCGCATACTGCACAACTTTGGAGGCAACAAACACATTAAGCCAGCAATCATATCCCCATTTCACAAATGTAGTAAATAGGGCTTTTAAAGGAGTAAAATACATGCCCAATGGAACATAAGAAGCAAGTAACAGGGCTAGATCTTGAATCTCAGCCATCTATCTCATTTATCTCCAAAACCATTGTTCTATTCGCTGCTTATCCCTTAATTTTGATCATCTATTAATTTTTTTCATCCACTAATTCAAGATTTATTTGCTTCATTCCTTTTAGGTATTGTTCTAGGAACTGGGAGCATAACAGCAAATAAAATAGTCATTAAAATTGCAACCCCTGTGGAGCTTACATTTTGGCAGCAGGAGGCATATGACAAATGGAAAAAGTGACACGTGCCAGATAGGGAAGAGGATTATGGAGAACAGTGTAACAGGGAAAGGGGTGGGGAGTGCTGGGAAGGAGGTAGGGACCTTTACTGATAAAGTGGCATTTGAGCAAGACTTAAAGGATGGAGAGGGTGGAGGGAGAGCAGGTTGAGCCATATGAGTACCTAGGGAAAGAACATTCCAGGCAATGGTACGGCCAATGCAAAGGTCCTAAGCCTGCCTCTCATGCTAGGGTAAGAGTAAAAAGGCCAAGGTAGGTAGGATGAGTTAAGCAGGGCGTGAGTACACAGAGATGAGGTCAGATGGGGGCTTTGTATGTGATGACATGAGTAGAGAAACCAGATCACAGAGGGCCTTGTGAGCTATGGGTAAAGACTGTGGCTTTTATTTTGAGTGAAACAGAAGCCACTGGAAGATTATAAGTAGAAGAGTGAGGTTCTTAGTTCCGAATAGATCACTCTGGTTGCTCGGTTGGGAATAGAACGTAGGAGCCAAGAACTAGAGCAGACGGGTGGTTGGGATCCTTCCGTGGACATCCAGGCTAGACAGGATCAAGGGTCACACTGCTGGAGTTGGGGGAGTTGGTCATGCAGGTGGTCAGAAATGCTCAGGTCCTGGGATATATTCTGAAGGTAGAACTGACATGATTACTGAAAGACTGGATGTGGGATTTGAGAAAAAAGGAACATAAAAAATGATGCCAAAGTTCTTGGCCTGAGCAATCGGAAGGGTAGGATTGTCATTTACTGAGATACCCAAGATTTGGAAAAGCAGGTTTGGGAGATGAATTAGCCATTTGGTATCAAAAGAAAATCTAAACTCTGAGATTGATACTCAGAAGAATTCAAGATTATTACTCAGAAGGATATAGTCTTCTGAAATAGCAATGATATTATCTAATAGAATGATCATTTATTTGGTAATAAAGATATTGATGCAATAAACTTTCCAATAAATCACGTTACCTTAATTTAATATCTAAATATTTTCTTAGCTGAAAAGTTTCAGACATTCAGGCATTTCAAAGATCATTTGACAAAATCTCTGTTTTATACTATGTTATTCATTTTAACATTGCTATCCAGTTTTACAAAGACTCACTAATTATTTTATTTCATAGGAAAAAAATAAATCAGATTGTATCTACGTCTGTAACTCCCTTACCATTTCTTAAGTAACCATAGAAGCTTGACATGTTTAAAATATCACTCCCAGGACTTTTCACCTTATTATGTACAGATTCCATTTTGAAGGAACTGTTGGAAAGAAAAGATTTAAAGGACATTACTAACATATGAAAAATATTTTGAGAAAATAAACTGAACATGGGGTGCCCAATTACTTTAGCAGATTAGTAAATCAAATACAGATTATTTTTAAGCAACATCTTTCACATTAATCTCTTTTGTGAATCTTATTTCCCCACTTTGCTCCCACCTAAAATCTTTGTCCCACTTGAATTACAAATCTCAGTTTACCAGAATCATCTGTGACCCACTTTTATAGGAGGGGCCTTGCTACTTTAGGTCACACGACTTCAGGCTAATGCAACAAGTTTTTAAAGCCTACTATGTTGACATCTGCCAAAGAATTCTCTCCAGGTATCACTGGGGCCTCAGGAAGACAGGCTTTAGCCTAGGCCTGTGTTTCAATCATAGGAATCTTCACACACTACCAGGGATGTCCTCATCGTCAGACAGTCATTTCCTTAAAATTCAGTTAAGTCATGCACGCAGTTGTTAAGCATACCGTGATTTTTTCAACCTTAACAAGCACAACAAAATGTTTATGAAATGGTCAAATCTTTCAGAAGGATCTGGTGTGATAAATCCAATATACATTATTTCCATTTCTCAAAAAAAAATGATATCCGGGCTTCTTTTATAAAAGACCAAACCTGGATTGGAGAAGCAGGTTCTCACCCTACACCTCCATTCTATAATTTATTTCAATGAAGAATTCTTTAAAGCATCAACTCATGTGTGATGACAATTTAAAGGGCATTTAATGGAAGGCATGCTGAAAGCCCATAAGCTTCCCCAAAGGCCAGCAACATGTCACCCCCATCCTACATTCTGTGTCAGGAACAAACTCAGAATGAAAACCTCTGGCAACCATCTGCTCCGTGGGATCATAATTAAACAAATAAAGTTTATTAGCAGCCTAAGCTTTTAAGAATTTGAAGATCGACTATCCCACCCAGCTCATTTTGTAAAAGAGGACAATAAGGCCCAGAAAGGCTAAGCAACTAGCCAAGAGTCGCATAGCTAGTGTGACAACAAAACCAGGATTCAATCCTAGGTCTTCTGACTCCAGGCAAAAGACTGGAGTTTTTTCCACCAAACTTTGGTGTTATATAATTTTCTTAGTAATAGGAAAAAAAAAGAGAGAAAAAGTAAAGGCTATCTGAAATATTTTAAAATATATTTAGGCATTTAAAATGAACAAATGAAAAGAAAATAGAGAAAAATCACATATATGAATCGCTGAAATTTACCAGGCTCTGTTTTCTCATTATTAGGGCCACCAAACAGAAAAATTGAAAACTCTGTAACACAATAGTGTTATAATGGAAAGAAACATAACACCAAACCCTATATAATCCATTTGGACTTCCACCAGACTCTAGGTTCACTGAGGGCAGGCAATCCATCCATTATACAGTGCCTGGCACAGATATTTGTTGAACTGAGCTCTTATCAAAGGACAGAAAATTCAGAGACTTTCTACCACCTACCATATAATGGGAGTTCAAACAAGGTCTCTTCTAAAAAGGCTTTCTGATGGTTTAATATCACACGAATTATGTTCTTTATGCTGACAAACTATACCACTTATTTATACTACAAATGTTTTCCCTCATTCCTTTACTTTTCAGTGTTTTCTACTGGTTTAATGTGCATTATCTTTATCATTTGAATGAGTTCCTATCTAACCCATAAATTTTATTTTATGTTTCTTCTCCAGGCCAGTACTAAAAACATAGGAGAAGAAAGTAAACATTTGGTGAATTGAATTCAATCCTGAAACATCAGACTATGAAAAGCTATACTGAATTTTAGCAGTGGGAGAAGGTAAACATACAGAGTTGAGATTAGGAACTAATCAGGCTACAGAATTAGACTGATGCCTAGTTCTGTATCAGCCTCTAGAGAGCTGAAGTAACCTTCAGTTTGATATTTTCTCTCCATAAGCTTCAATACCCTCATTATACAATAAGCAAAATAATAGTACCTATATTCCAGCTTTGCTGAGCATATTAAATGAAATTATGAATGTAAAGGCATTACACAGTGAATAGCAGATATTAAACACTAAAAAAATAGCTATTATTATTACTAACCTATAATTTCTATAAATGACTTATGGGATAGCCTCTTTTATTTTAATATGCAAGAATATGAACTAAAGAGTATGATTTGACATATGAAATTTTCAAACTTTTCCTTTCCTGATGATATATATTAATAAAATATATCACCCTAAGCATTTACTTAAATTTTTTTCATGCTTAATTCACATCATGTGTAATAGATTTCATGGTGTATATGTTTCTATGTGTGTATGCATGTATGTATCTATCTATTGATTCATTCAGCATCCAGCACTATGTCTTTCCTGGCACATATTATGAGAACAATGGATATTTGTTGAATGAATGAATTTTAAAACATACAAATTTATCGCCACATTGTCATCCAATCCCAAAGAATTAAAAAAAAGATTTTTGAAATGTGGTTTGAACAAAGAAGTTGTTGCATATTTATCCCCATTGGAAGGAAGAAAGGAAAACTAAAGAGTTGAATATAACAAATAATTATCATTTTTTTAATGTCCCAATTTAAATAGTCAAATCACTAGCCATATCTTACCTGTCAGTTCCACAGGTCAAGTCTATTGGCATGTAACTAATTTATTAACTAAAAATAGTCTGCTCATAAATAAACTATAGTGTTTAACTCTTGCAAAGAATTACATTTATTTTCCAGTCCTCTTGGAATGGCAAGCTGATTTGAAAGAGTGGCTATGTACTTATTGGACAATTCCAAAACTTTTCCAGAAAATAAGTTTACTCTTGAATCATCTCTTTTCGTTTCAGTATTGCATAAATCCCAACCTGGCAACATCAACGAGAAGTGATCTTCATTTGAAGCAAGTCCTAAAGAAACGGGACCCTGAAGCTTTAAAATATTGAGATGCTTAATGCACAGATGATCTAGTTCTTTATCCACCCCCCATGGCAAAAGGCAAGACAAAAACAATTTAGCTGTGTCTATGGTAAGGTTGGCATCCACTCTTCTTGATGGCTCAGGGTGCATCTTTTTGGAGCTCTTCATTTTCTTCTGCCTTTTAATGCCATCGTTTTCTTCTGAGAATTTGTTGGCACTATCTCCTTGGGCCAGGCTTTCGCTAGCAGGCTTGCTTGTGGCCTCTGCTGAGAGAGTTTTATTTTTCTTCAGTGTCATTGTTTTCTTCTCTACGGTGCTCTTGGCTCTTCTCAGGATCTCGCTACCATAGAATGAACTGGAAGAGTCACCATCACTCAGTGGAGTCGGCAGCAGAAGTTCAACAAGGTTTTCCAGATCAAATAGAAGAATGTGAAAGCCAACATGGCTCCATTTTGTCTTCACAGGCAAGACATTAAGGCCTTGGGACAGACTTGGCATCAGCAGCCTAAGGGGGACAAAAAAAATTTACGTGTCAAAGTTCTTGTTCTTTAAGTTACTTTATTAAAGATTTCATGATATTGAAGTGACATGGGAAAAAAAAAGTAATAAATAGTGGTATAGCTCAAGGTAAGTCATTTCCATTTTTTTTGGTCCTAGCTATAAAAATTCCTTTCTAACTTAAATATTTTATGTTCTGAAAGTATTTGAAAACTTTTCTTCTTCCTATAAGTTTTGTTTTTCCTCTGAATAAATATGAATTAGGCCTGTGGAATAAGATAGCACCAGATTAACATCCTTTGACATAAACTCTCACATCTTCTTCTTCTTTTTTTTTTTTTGAGACACAGTCTCACTCTGTTGCCCAGGCTAGAGTGAGTGCTATGGTGTCAGCCTCGCTCACAGCAACCTCAAACTCCTGGGCTCAAGCAATCCTTTTGCCTCAGTCTCCTAAGTAGCTGGGACTACAGGCATGTACCACCATGCCCAGCTATTTTTTTCTATATATTTTTAATTGGCCAATTAATTTCTTTCTATTTTTAGTAAGGATGGAGTCTCACTCTTGCTCAAGGTGGTTTTGAATTCCTGACCTTGAGCAATCCTCCTGCCTCGGCCTTCCAGAGTGCTAGGATTACAGGCATGAGCCACCGTGCCCGGCCCACATATTCTTATTATTGTAGTCATGAAGACATACACAGAAAAAGTGGGTTTGAAAATGAAGAACAAAAGTTACTCACATTCACAAATTTAGGAAGTATTTTTACAAGCATGGGTCTTTCAAATTTGTTAAAATTTTTAAATAAGTGTTAGTACCTAAATGTTAACCAATATCAGATTGTTTTGAAAAACAAAAACTTGTCTTATGGACTTGCATTTGATTTTGCCCCAAGGATTGGCACAGTGGGTTCCCATGCTTCATTCAAGTTCATGTTCATTTATGAGATCATCCTTGAGTACCCTATGCCCTCACGCCAACCCATTGCTTTCTATCCTCTATCTTACTTTCTTTATTCTTCCTAGTACTTATGATTATTGCCATATAGTATACAAAAATTGTGTTTGTTTGTTGTGTGCTTTATCCACTAGCATTCAAGCCCCACCTTTGCAAGAATTTTGTACATTGCTTGCTTCCAGTGACTGGGAAATGATGCTGGTAAATGACATTTTTATTTAAAGACTCAATAAGTATATGTAGAATTAGTGATTAGCAAATTTATACAATAGAACGCCATTTAAATATTTTAAAATAATGGTGTAAACTATATTGATTGGTGGAAAAAAAAGGTGTCCTATTAGGCAGAAAAAACAATTCCCCTTTTGTAAAATTATGTATGTGTATAAGCCAGGTGTGGTGGTTCATGCCTGTAATCCCAGAACCTTGGGAGGCCAAGGTAGGAGGATCGTTTGAGCCCAGGAGTTCAAGACCAGCCTGGGAAAATAGCAAGACCTAGTCTCTACAAAAAGTAAGAAAAATTAGCTGAGTATGGTGGCATGCACCTGTAGTCCTAGCTACTTGGGAGACTGAACCAGAAGGATTATTTGAGCCTGGGAGTTGGAGGTTGCAGTGAGCTGTGATCATGCCCCTGCACTCCAGCCTGAGTGACAAAGTGAGACCATGTCTCTAAGGAAAAAAAAAAAAAGAACAAAAATGACCATGTATGTGTATGAATATATGGCTATTATATATATGCAAATATACCTACACATAGATATAAATCTACATATATAGAGAATATATAAAGAGAGAAAGAAAGTCACAAAATACAAGCACCAAAATGTTAACAACGGTTGGGAAGAGGGAATTAAAATAATCTTTATTTATACTTTGGGGTTTTTGTTTTTTGATTTGGTTTTCTGAAATTTTTTATAGTGCTGATGCAATTTGCGATCACAAACAAGGAAAGTTTTAAAAGCAAACCATAAAAAATTATGTGGCAAAAAGCAAAATGGGGAACTAACTGTAAAAACATATTTTCCACCAGTAAGATAGTATAAGGGTTAATATAATTATTAATAAATAATATTTGCAAATCAATAATAAAAGCAGTACCATACAGATGAAAAATTGGGCAAAGAGCATCAATAACAACTCACAAAGAATAATGTTCAACTTAAAATATTTTTTAAAAAGTTTACCACAAGTAAATCAAAGAAATACAATTAAGATGATACCATTCATTGCCTATTAATTTAGCAGAGAGAATTTCTTACATTATTTTATTATGTAGTGTTTAATACATACAAAATACTATATAAACTATATAGTTAGTCTTTTTAGGATTATCGATGTATAAGAGAAATGTTGTATACCAAGAAACATGGAGAAAACTATATAGCATCATTATTCATAATTATCCCAAACTAGAAAAAACCTAAATATCCATCAACAGTAGAATAGACAGCAATTTGTGATGTATCCACGCAATGGAAATTATACAACAATGAAAATGGAAGAACTATAGCTATATTCAACAGCATGTATAACCTACTTAAAAAATATATCCCCTACAGCATTTACTTAAATTTTCCCATGCTTAATTGCACATCATCGTGTAATAGAATTCTCTGGTGTAATATGTTCATGCTGTGTGTGCTGTATGTATCTATCTATTGATTCATTGCAGCATCCACAACCTCATGTCTTTCCTGGCAAAATATTATGAGAACAATGGATATTTGTTGAATGAAAATTTTAAAACATACAAATTTATCGCCACATTGTCAATCCATTCCCAACAAGAATTCGAAAAAAAATTTTTAAAATGTGTTTGAACAAGAATCTCTTGCATATTTATAACCCCAATGGAAGAGAAAGAAACTAAAGAGTTTGAATATAACAATAAAATTATCATTTTTATGTCGCAAAATAAAATAGTCAAATCACCTGCCATATCTTACCTGTCAGTTCCACCAGGTCAAGTCTAATTGGATGTTTGACTAATTTTTTAACTAAAAAATCTGCTCAATAAATAAACTATAGTTTTAACTCTTCAAGAATTACATTTATTTTGCCCTCCTCGCTTGGAAATGCAGCCCCTGATTTGAAAGAGTGGCTACTGTACTATTGGACATTCCAAAACTTTTTCAGAAAAATAATTTACTCCTTGAAATCATGCCTTTTCGTTTCATATTGCATAAATCCCAACCTGGCAAACACCCTCAAACCGAGAAGTGACTCATTTGAGCAAGTCTAAAGAACGGGACCCTGAAGCTTAAAAATTGAGATGGCTTAATGCCACAGATGATCTAGTTCCTTACCACCCCCATGGCAAAGGCAAGACCAAAACAATTAGCTGTGTCTATGGTAACGGTTGGCATCCCTCTTCTGATGGCTGCAGGGTGCCATCTTTTTGGAGCTCTTCATTTTCTTCTGCCTTTTAATGCCATCGTTTTCTTCTGAGAATTTGTTGGCAGTAATCTCTTGGGGCCAGGCCTTTCGGCTACAGGCCTTGCTTTGTGCCTCTGCTGAGAGAGTTTTATTTTCTTCAGTGTCCATCTGTTTTTCTCTACGGTGCCTCTTGGCTCTTTCAGGATGCCGCTACCATCAGAATGAATGAAGAGTCCCATCACTCAGTGGGTCGGCAGCAGAAGTTCAACAAGGTTTCCAATCAAATAGAAAGAAGTGAAGCAACATGGCTCCATTTTGTCCTTCACGGCAAAGACATTAAAAGGCCTGGACAGACTTGGCATCAGCAGCCTAAGGGGGGCAAAAAAAATTTACGTGTCAAAGTTCTTGTTCTTGAAGTGTATCTTATTAAAGATTCATATATTGAGTGAACATGGGGAAAAAAGTAATAATAGGTGGTATAGTCAAGGAATCATTCCACTTTTTTTGGTCCTACGCTATCTAAATTCTTCTAACTTAAATATTTATTCTGAAAGTATTTGAAAATTTCTTCTTCTATAATTGTTTCTGCTGAATAAATATGAATTAGGCCTGTGGAATAAGGATAGCACCAGATTAACATCGTTTGACATAACCCTAACTCGACTCTTCTTCTTTTTTTTTTTTTTTTGAGACCAGTCTCACTCTGTTGCCCAGCTACGAGTGAGTGCCTTGGTGTTAGCCATCGTCCACAGCAACCTCAACCTCCTGGGCTCAAGGCATCTTTTGCCTCGTCTCCTAAGTAGCTGGGCACTACAGAATGACACCATTGACCCAGCTATTTTTTCTATATATTTTAATTGGCCAATTAATTCTTTCCTATTTTAGTAAGGATGGAGTCTGCACTTCATCTGCTCAAAGGTGGTTGATTCCTGACTTGAGCAATCTCCTGCCTCGGCCTTCCAGAGTTAGTTAGGCTTCTTTTATAAAAGACCAAACCTGGATTGGAGAAGCAGGTTCTCACCCTACACCTCCATTCTATAATTTATTTCAATGAAGAATTCTTTAAAGCATCAACTCATGTGTGATGACAATTTAAAGGGCATTTAATGGAAGGTATGCTGAAAGCCCATAAGCTTCCCCAAAGGCCAGCAACATGTCACCCCCATCCTACATTCTGTGTCAGGAACAAACTCAGAATGAAAACCTCTGGCAACCATCTGCTCCGTGGGATCATAATTAGACAAATAAAGTTTATTAGCAGCCTAAGCTTTTAAGAATTTGAAGATCGACTATCCCACCCAGCTCATTTTGTAAAAGAGGACAATAAGGCCCAGAAAGGCTAAGCAACTAGCCAAGAGTCGCATAGCTAGTGTGACAACAAAACCAGGATTCAATCCTAGGTCTTCTGACTCCAGGCAAAAGACTGGAGTTTTTTCCACCAAACTTTGGTGTTATATAATTTTCTTAGTAATAGGAAAAAAATAAAAGAGAAAAAGTAAAGGCTATCTGAAATATTTTAAAATACATTTAGGCATTTTAAATGAACAAATGAAAAGAAAATAGAGAAAAATTACACATACGAATCACTGAAATTTACCAGGCTCTGTTTTCTCATTATTAGGGCCACCAAACAGAAAAATTGAAAACTCTGTA